GCACGTCCATAACTAAGATGTCACTTTCCACTGAATTCTATTTTGTTATTTTCGTCAAAAGGTAAGCTTGAACCCATGAGTGTGAGAAAACTGATCTGGTTGCTAATGGCATAGAGTGGAAATAAGCAGTTTGAGTGACTTCTTCACTCCCTTCTATTAGCATTGCTACTTTTAGAGAAACTATTCCTGAAATGATTAGTGTAGGAGGATGGGTTTAGTCTTGTATCTTCTCCTTTAAAGCACTCGGAGTTAGAGATCCCAGAAGGATCAGTTTTCTCACTTGTACTGAAAATGTCACTCTAACAGTTATCTGTCTGCACAGTCAAGTTTTGAGAAATCTTTTGAATTTACCGCATTCACACCATTCTCCATCATGGTGCTAAAAATGACTAATGCGGCTTGGAGCCCGGGAGACTGTGAGAGCCGATCGTCTCTCCCAATCGTACACCAACACTCACACACACTCACATACACACATGCTCAGCTGACATGAATCCTTAAAGGTTTAAAATATCTTATATGCTAAATGGAATGTGGAGGCGTGTGGGATGCTTAAGCACATAGTTATTGTGTTGGTGTCACTCTGGTTTATCAAGAAAATTGTTCTGGTTATTTGACTAAAAAACTGGTATGTTTTTAACCAAAGGGGCCACTATAATATATGACTTAATTTTCTATTTAAAAGAATCTCTGGTATGGAAATGATCAAATGCATTATTTAATTTTATCCTCTCGTCGTCTCTGAGAAAAGTGCAGTACAGCATTCCCTTTTTTAAATAAGAGGAAACAGTCTTAGAGAAGATGGTGACCTACTCAATGTCATGTATACAAAAGATCACTCTTTTTTAGGGATCCTAATTAGTCACATAAGCCAATTTAGGGTCACAAGAACCAAATCCTCTAAATAAACTTCATTTCCTTTCTTGATGAATGCTATTCTGATGGCTAAAGGAATTTTCACAAACACAGATATATCCTGCTTCCAGAAAAACATATGACAAAGTGTCCTGTGACGTCATTCAGGGAATGATGGAGAAGTGCATGGGCTGAATGATAGTAATTAGATGAAGTGGGAGCTGATTACATCCAAAAGGGGAAGATTAGTTGATAACTTGCAGTGAGATTTCTAGGAACTTTCCACAAGGCTCTATTTTTGGTCCTGTCCAATTCAACAATTTTGTCAATTACCTGGAAGAAGTCTAGGAACTTGCTTACTAAGTTTGCAGATGACACAGAGCTAGTAAAGAAGTTAAGATTAGTAATTCACTGGGTGACAGAATCAAGTTTTAAAAATGTCTATTATTTAAGATGATGAGTTGACATTTATCAAGGATAAAGATAAAGTCTTGCATTTAATTAGAAAAAAATTGTGAAAGATGAGTGAAACTGAACTGGGAGCAACTGTTAAAAACAAACAAACAAAAAGCCTCAGGTCTGAATTGGCCGTAAGCACAATCAACTACTGAAAAAGTCAACACAATCTTTGTTGGCATTCGGAGAAAGCGAGAGAGGGAGAGAGACACCAGTTTGATAAAAGTAACATCTTGAGGATTGTGTTTAATCCTGATGCCATACTACTAGAAACATAGCTATCTTTACTGAGTATTTACCGTGTGTATTAATCACTTAATCCTGATAACAACATGATGAACTATGTATTGTTGTTACTGGTAGAGAAACTGAGAACACATACTTAGACTGCCTGGATTTGAACATTGTCTCTGAATATTTATCAAATGTTGGAAGAGTTGATATGTGGATAGAAAATCAGATTTATTCCATGAAATACTGTCATCAAGAGAGCAGACACAGGTTACATCAATGCAGAGAATTTTTCTGGGCATTAGAGGATGCTGGTACATCTAGTTTTCAGTACAATGTTAGACTAGATGGCTTCTGATGTTAATGTCCAATTGTCAGATTCTGATTTATTGGGATTGGACTTAATGTAACACAATATTACTATGAACAACAACATAGCAAAAACCTTTAAAAGAAGAAGTAAATTGAATTAATTAGTGGTAATTTAAATGGTGTTCTCTTGAACACAAGTGTATGAGAGCACCCTACTCACATCCATGTGTCTAAGATGTCCTTGCCATTTGTCCTAGGTAAATTCTGCCAAAATTATATAAACTTTTGTTTATCGATCTTTTATTATATCTAGAATATTATCAGCAAGTAATATTCAACATGCAGACCCCCATCAGAGGAGGTTGTATTGCAGAAGTAACAAATGTCATTAAAAAGTCCTTATATTGGGTGACTCCTAATAGCTCTTTGGTGTATTAAAAGCAATGTTGATGTTGGTTTCAAAATGCTGAAAGGGTCAAATCTCTGTCAGATACTAGTTGTGATGACTGGACCACTTTGCTTTCTTTTTTTCTGTCTTAATTATTACATCTCAAAAATAAGGATAATATTGCCTTTATAAGATTGTTGCAGTAAATGCAATAATGTAACAGTTCTTACCATACTATTCAGATTTTTAAGAAAAATTTAGCTTTTCAATGAAATGGATTGCAAGAATAACTGTGTAATAGAGAATTTGCCGGGCCTTTGTCCTGGTTCCTCTTTAGTAAACACTAAACCTTTTGAGTTTTCTGAGTAATTGGAGTATCTTTGTTCATGATGGACCCCTGGAGGCTAATGAGATGGTTTATGCTAATGAGATGACACAGAAGGGGCCTGGCCAGCCAGGAAGACCAAGCACGGTGATTAGAGGGTTGAGGCTTTGACTCATGTGATAGCCCAACTTCTGGAGGGAAGAGGCTAGAGACTGTGTTCAATCACATGGCTAATAATTCAATCAATCCTGTGTGCATAATAAAACCTCAATGAAAATTCTGCACATGAAGTTCAAGTAAGCTTCCCCGGCTGGCCATATTCTGCATATTGTCACACATTGGTGTGCCAGTTGGCCCTTGCATCCCTGAGGATGAAAGAACTTTCATTTCTGAAGCCCTCTTAGGCCTTGTTCTGATTTTTTTTTTTGCTTTGTTTTTGCTATATAAAGCTGTAATCATAAGTACTGTGCTTTCCTGAATTCTGTGAGTCATTCTAGCAAATTGTCAAGCCGAAGGGGAGCTGTGGGGACTTCCACATTTGTAGCCAGCTTATCAGAAGCAATGGTAGTCCTGAGGAACCTATGAACTTGTGGCCAGTGACTAAACTGAGCACAGTCTTGTGAAGTTTGGCCTAACTGGGTACCTTCCTCAAACATATGTGTGAAAAATGTAGATTTATATACCAAGATAAACTGATGGCGCCTAGGTGGCTCCATAGGTTAAGTGTCTGCCTTGAGCTTAGGTCATGATTCCAGGGTCCTGGGATTGAGCCCCATATCAGGCTCCCTGCTCAGGGAGGAGCCTGCTTCTCCCTCCCTCTGCCTACCACTTCCCCTGATTGTGCTCTCTCTCTCTCTCTCTCTCTCTGTCAACTAAATAAAATCTTAAAAAAATATAAACTGATAGTAATATTGACTTCATGGTTCTTCTAGAATATATCAATTTGGTTTGATTATAGACATTTTTAAAAGCAAATTTTCAAAAACATTTTCATTGAGTAATGTTGAAGCATATGCCGAACACATAAGATGTTTAGGTAAAGACATAGGTAAGACTTTTTGAGGCTATCTTATAAAGGTCTAATACCGGTGCTTTGTTCCTTGTTTATACATAAAAGAATCTAACCACTAGAGCAGTCAACAACTTGCCTGCTGTTCCCACAGTTCTTTATGACTATTTGAATATTCGTCCTTTGAGAAAAGATTAATATCTCACAAATTCCGTGTAGCATAGAGCCTGGCACACAGTAAGTATTCAATACATACTTGTTTAATTTTCTTGTTAACTAATACAAGGGCAATACTTGATCTTATTGATATTCCATCAAGGATTGTACATTTGTTCCCTAGATCTCTACCTATCATCAAATTTATCATTTTTAATTTCACTGCTTCCCTACACTCTTGGAAATTTTGCAAGGATTTTACAGTGTTTATTTTCTTGTCATGGCATGCCAATGTGTCCAACATCGTGCCTAGAACAGAGTGCGTCATTCATATAAATATTTTTTGAATGAAGATAGTGTTAAAAAAGTTTCTTATTCATAGAAGTTAATTTTTCCATAGTTTGAAAGTAAGTAAATTAAATTTGTTATAGGAGAACACAAACCCACACTTTCTTTACATTATTTTAAGTGCACAATTGTAAGTACTTTTGAAAATAGAGAATAAGCTTGTAGTATTTTATAAAATAAGCAAGAGTAAATTTTAAAAAATGTTAAGGCATGTTATCATCTTAGAATAAATAAAGGAAAAAGTCTGTGGATTTAAAATACAACCAAAGGCATTTCACCATGACATCTAATCATTGTCATCCTGTCGCTTTTTCTGTCAGCACATATATAAGGAGCATTTTTTTGTTGCATTTTTCAGATGGGGTATTTTTTTTTTTTTTGATCAATTTCTATGGGAAAAATTTTTCCAAGACCATTTGCTTTTCAATTCACAGTTTCCTTTTGGCTGCATAGATATGATTTCTAGGAAATCACAAGAAAAAAGATGGTTTAGATACCCCATCCTCCTACATTTCTACAAGACTTACCTTTCCTGAGGAATACCTGTGCCAGCTATGAGGCATTATTGAATATGACCTCATTGAAAGATCTAATAAGAATATAATGACCGATTTGTTTTAAAACACACTAAAGAAAGACAGCAGACAGGGTCTCATGAGAAGTGACATTCTGTAATTACCTCCTCCTATCAAAAGAAAAACAATTCCCAGAAATTAATGAATACAGCAAGAGTCTATTTCCTATCTTAATTCTATCTTAATTGCAAAAGTGGATCAATTAAAAAAAAGACTACACTGGCAAGGTCCTTCTTTTAAGATTTTGTCTCCTGATTCTCTAGTCATCAAATCAATATATATATATATATAAACATATATATGTACATATATATATATATATGCATACCATGAACCTATTTTTACCTTCTGAGATGAGATATACCAACTCCACCAGCAATGCTCCCATGAAGCAACCAAATCCATTGAACAGTGTCAGAAAATTCATAGAGGTTCCTCTGATGGTACTCGGAACAAATCTGTATATTACAGAGACTGAAAGGAAAAGAGAAGGTCAAAATTCAGAACATTCTCTGTAAAATACTTCCATAGATATTATTCAAATTAGTATTGATCATACCTCAAAGAAAGTTTACTGATAAAGGCAAAATTTGGTTTGGACTTTGTTAAAGTTACCATAGTAAGACATATTATGATGTTATAGTTTACATATGTCTAAAAGGAGTAATATTTGGCAAACTATACTCTTGTATAGCTACAAGGAAAATTTAATTATTTTGTGGTTTAAGTGTCCCAATATATTCACCCAAATTTCACCCTGATTTGAATATTTCTTACTAATTTTGGATGGAGATGAGGCTTGTACTAGGTAATATGACAATCTAGTAATAAGACCCATGATCCTGTGATTCTATGTAAATTATTAGGTTTCAATAGAAAACTTGAATTTATCATATAAAATTAGCATGGAGGTTAAGAGGATGGGTTCTGGAGTTGGACAAGATTATGCTATAATCTCAGGTCAGCTATCTCTGTGATTTTAAATAAGTTAGTTAGACTTTCTGAGCCTCAGTGTTATTCTCTGTAAAATGGGAATATCATCACTCACTTGCAGAGGTACATGGCTCTTACTTGCTATAATGTACGTATAATACTATAATATGTATAAAATGTTGACTTGTAAGAACTGAATGAGGTTGGCTATTTTTAACAGTATTAATCTTACCAAGTCAAATGGCTCCTACTTGTGCAAAGTCCTTTACATGCATTTAAATTATCCTGTTCAAGGAGAGGTTATTTAAAGAGAGATGATCGCATAAGCTTTGGATCTTCAAAAAGGTTATCTTTTTTTTATCCCAAGTCATTACTAGGGTAATGGTGGCAAGAGGTTGAAAAAAATCATGGAATATTTTTTTTTAAAAATTTCATTTACAAATAATTTTTTTAATAGACTCAATTATAGAGAATAAACCGATGGTTACCAGAGGTGAGAGGATGGGGAGGATGGGTGAAATTGATGATGGGGATTAAGGAGTGCACTTGTGATGAGCATCAGATGATGTATGGAACTGCTAAATCACTATATTGTGCACCTGATACTAATATAACACTGTATATTAACTAACTGGAATTTAAATAAAAACTGAAAAAAAAATCAAAAATTTTCTGGTATCAGGCATAGATGAAAATGAGTATATCGGATTTTGTACATATGATATTAACTATACTAAAATATGCATGGCAACCTTAGGGGTACATGCTAAAATATTTACAACATTTATCATAATATGATATCTGGGATTTGCTTCAAAATTATACAATGAAGAAGAAGAGAGTGTGCAAGTGAGGGTAGAGATGAGACAAGTTTGGCTATGGCATGAAAATTATTGAAGCTGGAACATGAATACACAGGAGTTTATTACACTAATCTCTCTCATTTGTATATGTGTCACAAAAAATTGGAAGGAAATACATAAAATAACAGGAACAGTGTTAGCTTTGAGTGTTTGAATTATTTTTAATTTACCTTCTCCTTACTCTTCTATACTTTGCAAATTTTTCTACAGTGAGAGATCAAAAATAAACACTAGAGTTCATTTTAAAAAGTGGTGATAGGGTAGCCCCAGTGGCTCAGCGGTTTAGCACTGCCTTCAGCCCAGGGTGGGATCCTGGAGACCCGGAATCGAATCCCCTGTCAGTCTCCTTGCATGAAGCCTGCTTCTCCCTCTGCCTGTGTCTCTGCCTCTCTTTCTATGTCTCTCATGAATAAATAAATCAAATCTTTAAAAAAATAAAAAAGTGGTGATAGAAAACTGATATACTGGAGAGGCTAAAACTTTAGTTTCTTTTTTCTGTCTTTTCTTTTCTTTCTTTTTTCTTTTCTTTTTTTTAGAAAGAGGAGAGGCAGAAACAGAATGAGAATCTCAAGCAGGCTCCACACCCAGCACTGAGCCCAACTCCGGACTTGATTTCACGACTGCAGTCATGACCTGAGCCAAATCAAGAGTCAGAGACTGAACTGACTGAGCCACCCACACACCTCTTAGTTTCCTTTTCTATAAAAAGATCTTATTATCTCTTCCCTTCTGTCTTGGGAAAACTTTACCCTCTGGTTTACTTGCACTTTACCCCAGAAAAAGTCTGCATTTGTTCAGCCCTTTTAAAGAAACTTACTAATATATAATATACATGTATTTGTGTTTCTTCCTAGCATTCATATAACATTTCTGTTTTGGTTTCTGTTGTCCTCCACATGTTTTTATTGATCAGCGAAGAAACATTCAAAGGAGTCCCCATCTGTGCTCCAGGGAATGTGCAGCGTGTGGAAGCTGAGGCCAGCCCTCAGCTAGGGCACTGGTGCATCATTCCTAGATTATAAAGCCTGGGCAGGCAGGGAGCAGAGACATACAGGACACTAAAGGTAGTGCTAAGCAGGCACTTAATACCACAGATGTTTATTGGAGGTGAAGATAATGATGGTGATAAATAAAATACTGTGAAGAAGGGCTTCAAATCTTGGCAGCAAGGGGCCATGGGTCTCACAGCTCTCTTGTGTAGTGCAAATCACCAGCAAGAGCCCCAGGCCAAGCTCACAAGTGTTTTTCAGGAAGATCTGGACGACAGGGTGAGGGAAAAGCTGAAGAGGTTTTGGGAAGAAATGATTCACTGTTATAAAAAGGATTTGGCTTATGAACTTTCCTTTCTATAAATATGAAGAGACAAACAATGGGCAGAAAGACCGATTTCTTTCACTGAGAAAAAGCAGAATGTACAAGCCCATTATTACTCTGCTAGTTAATTATTAATCCTATGCTTTTCTCTTGCTAGAACTTCTGGTGCGGTATATAATTCATGAACACACTTTGCCAGCTCTCTGCCTGCTGGTTAATCTCTCTTTGGTGTCATTTTAGTCGTTTTGAAAGCCTCCGGTTCCCTTTTAGAAGACTTAGCTTTTCAAGTCTTCCGATCTTCATTTTCGGGCATCTCCTTGAACATTCTGATCTCTTTCTATGTTAGCGATCATCAACCTGATTTTTTAGGCTCTGTGGTACTTCTTTTAGCACATAATAGTATAGATAGTGCCCACAAGTCTGCCACTATTCCAAAGTTCTCATTTTACCAGGAAGACACAGTAAAAAATACTCAGTGTGTGTGAGAGCTCGTCTTGCCAATGAGAGCTGAAATGTGCCTCCAGGCGGAGGCTGCTTAGTGTTTGCAGAGATGCCCCATCACAGCATCTGTGGAAGCCATAAACCGTAGGGCTGTTACCACCTTCCTGAGGCACCTGGTACTGGGGACTCATTGCTGAAATTTCTTTTCCTCCAATTGTTCTTAAACTGTTAGATGGGCTTTATGTTGGGTGAGTATTTCGAACATATGTAAGAGAAGGACCTCTGTCTGGGGCTATGGAACTTTGTCCAGATCACCATTCCTCCCTCATCTCTCAAGAGCTTCAGTTCATTGTTTCTGATTAGATCAGTGTTAGTCAATCAGATCACCTTCTACTTCTCTTTTGTGTAGTCACCTGTCAATTTCTAGGCCGTCTTCCTCTGCTAGTCAACGTTATCAGCTCCTCTCTCCTTGTCACATTCTCCAGTTCTATTCCTGCCTTAGTTCCTGACAATTATCACGTATATAGATCATCCTTCTAAACTTGCATCCTGCCGGATCTTGGTTTCTCAGTCCCTTGACCTTCTTTCTAATGTCCTTGTCCTCAACACTACCTTAGCTGCTCATTACCATGCTCACACCCTGAACCTTGGTTGGCCCCCAGGCCAGCAGACCAGGACTTGGTGAACTACCATCAGGTAAGGTTCAGCCTGCCAGGTGTTTATAAAGAAAGTTTTATTGGAACACAGGCACACCCATTCATTATCTATGTGTCTATGACTTCTCGTACAACACAATGACAGAGTTGAGTGGTTGTAACAGAGACTGTCTGCCTGGTGTGAAAAATCTATTTACTATCTGACACTTTTCAGAAGACATTTGCTGACCCATGCCCTAGACCAGTAATTGTAAATGCTCCACAATCTCATCTTTGTGCATCCCCCACTAACTACAACTTTCTGTCTTCCCAGTTAACTGCTGCTCAACCACAAAGGTGTTTAGACTCCTTCAGGGCCTTCACTCCATCGCTCCTTTCCTTACGCTCACCTCTTTCATGCCTTTATGATCCTATTCCTCTTCTTAGCCAAGTTAAGTTCCACAGTCAATTGCTATGATGATACTCTTTCACATACCCTCTTTCCCTTGCCTTTCTCTTGCTTTCTGGAAATTGATTGGCCAAACAATTCACGCTCTGCCATCCCTGCTCCTAGATCCATGCTGCTCAATATTTCTGGAAGAACGCATAACCATGTTGACCAACTCATTTTAAATTCCTGACCACAATCAAATGGTCTCTTGTTGCTCCCTAGCAATGTTCCATATCTTCCTGGCTCATTCATTCTCTCATATTAGACAACAATTTCATACCTCTCCTTTCTCTTCAACACCCCCCCCCCCCCCCCGTACAGCCATATCTTCACTCAAAGCTCATGGCCTTACATCTTACTTCAATTAGCCATCGGGGAGTTTCCACATGAATCTCCACACCTATTTATGTACACAGAAGTTCCTGCATCTATATACTCTGTCCTCCAAACTGTTAGCATTAATGAACCATCCTTGCTACTACTTACAGCCACATTCTCAACTTGTAAATTAGATCTCAACCTCTCTCCCTGCAGTGATTTCCCCCATTCTAATACTATTAATTTTTCCTCTCTCTCTTATTTTAAATTTTCTCTTTCTTTTGAATCATTCCCACCAATGTGCTGTATGATGCCATTAACTTTCCTTCCTTATACAGATATAAAAAACTCATTCTTAACCCCATTACTTTGTCAGCTACTGTCCCATTCCTTTATTCTCTTTTGCAGCAAAATTCTTCACATGAATCATCTACAATACTTCTCCTCCCATTATCCTTTAAACTCATTCTAAGCAGGCTTTTGTGCATTCCCACATCCCACATAAGAAAGCTCCTTTCC